CATTTTGCAGAGAACACCTTTCTGCGTAGGCGGCCTTCGGTCGCACTTAGGGATTATAACCCTCAGGCAGTAGAATTCTCCGTTCTGTTTTGCGAAGAAAAGGAGCTGAACACCTTTTGCAGAGAACACATTTATGCGTAGGCGGCCTTCGACCGAACTTAACCCTGTAACACGTACACGTTTGTTACAAGACTTTTTGCATAAAGATTTTAAAAATAAAATAGAAATGGCAGAGGGAGTGCGTAAACGCTACAAGTTATCGGATTTGAGTGATGAACAATTACTGGAATTGCTTGATTCAGTCCAATCGGACGAGGAAATATCAAACACATCAAGTGATGATGAAGAGGACGATTTCGATGTGACAGAACGGCTAAACGCAGCATTGGATGATGCTGAAACGGTGTCATTCCTAGAAAATACTGTTGAAAATACTCCAAATACTGTACAGCAACATGAACCTGAAGATACAGGATGCACATCATTGACTTATCCTAAGGAAGATCTTGATGTAGCAGAAGTGCTAAGCGCAGCATCACATGCTGGTGAGGCAGTGTCATCGATAGTCAATGCTGTGGAAAATGTTCCAACTACAATACAGCAGCCTGAACCTGTTTGGAAATTGAGAAAGAGACCTCGATCACCATTACCATCAATACAAGCTACAGCATGCATATCTTCGCCTTCTTCTGGGGGCTTCAATGGTTCTGGTAAGTTTTCATAATTACAAAATACTAAAAAATTACATACTGATTTATATAATATATATAAAGGTATTGATTCGATAACGAAGGATCCGGGAAAAATAATATGGCGAAATCAATCAATGCAGTTACATGTCAATGACATAGCCTTTCGTGGGAATTCATCACTGCCAGCGGAAATCTTTGAGCTTGAAACTCCACTAGAGATGTTCTGCTACTTTTTTGATGGTGATATAATGAATATGATTGTTGAGGAAACATTGCGCGCAGCTTTAGCCGACAACATCGTAAATCAATTTAAAGTGACTGTTGAAGACATGCACAATTACATAGGTATTTTGATGTATATGTCTTTATATCGCTACCCGAACTTGAAAAGCTACTGGGGAAAAACTCATTTACACCCGTTAAAAACTGCATGACCAGAAGCAAATTCGAATCTATAAAGAAATACTTCTCACTGCGTGATGAGAGCAAGCGGATCAAGAAGGGTGAGTCTGGGTACGATCCACTGTATCGCTCGCGTACGCTTGTGGACTTACTTAACCAGAGGTTTGACTCCGTGCCAAAGCAAGCCCGTCTGTGCGTCGATGAACAGATGTGCAGGACAAAAATGAAGCACCACTTGCGGCAATATATGCCCAATAAGCCTCATAAATGGGGTTTAAACCTATTTGTACTGTGCGATTCTTTTGGCTATGCCTACCGCTTCGAGATTTACAGCGGCGCAGGAGATAACGTAATCTTGCCTGGTCACCCAGATCTTTGTAGTTCGTAGTTTTTTATCACTTGGTGGATATGGCATATATTTTATACAGACGCATACAAAAAGAAAAAAGCACAGACAAACTGCTTGAACTCCCAGATTTTCGTGAAGCGATTGCTGCTGGTCTGGTGGCTTTTCAAAAAAAACGTTTGCCAGGTCGCCCAAGCCGTGATCCGAGTGATCGGAATATGCAGTCGCCATCTTCTCATCGAACTTTACAGACAAGTCCAACAAGGCAGTCGCCTTCCTTTGAGGGCCTGAAAGCTGGGGAAAAATCAAAGCATCCAATATCGGACCTGCGGTTTGATCAGCTTAACCATTTCCCTGTTTGGATGGATCGGAGTAGTAGAAGGAGGTCGTGCAAGTTATGTAAAACTTCGCAAACACAGTGCATTTGCACAAAATGCAATTTGCACTTATGCTGCACAGCCAGCAAAAATTGTTTTTTGACTAAAAGTTGAATTAAAGTGATTTATATACAAGATAAAATAAAATAAAAGTGTGTAAAGTATTAAGTACAGTGTTATGTGCATTTATATATAGATGAAAGTATGTGACAAATGCACTTTTTGTTAAGGAAACCAAGTGGAACGACTTAAGAAGTTTTAACAATGTTTAGAGGATACCTCCTTTAACATCCTGACCAAGTTACATTTGTTAATTCCACCTGGTTTTCTTAAAACACAAGGTGCGGCTGACTACTAAAGCCCACCCGTGACTTGACAGAAAACCAGATTGGACCTTACTTAACAAGCCATGGTTATTCAAATGTATTTGGGACAAAGACGGTGTGCAAAGTGTGCCCAAATTTTTTTTGATTGGGTAACCCATTCGGACACAATAGCCGGAAATCATTGGGCAAATAACTAAACCGTACCCGAGAATAACACTAACGTTCTATATTTACTCCGCACACCAATTAGGCATGCACTTGAATGCACTCTGCTTATCTCGTTAAGCACAAATTATCTCGTGCATGCAGTCCACATAACCTCAAACATGTTCCACAACAATAAATTTTCCCTTAACATATTGAACCAATTGCTTCTGAAGTCTGCCATTAATAAATAGAATATGCCATGCAGATTTTTGTAGCATATGGCTAATTTTCTATTTTTAAATTTGCGTGATGTTAAACGGAAGAGCAAAATCGGGGCTCAGTAGGAATTATCTTTAATTACCTCTCCCACATCGGAAACATTTTTATTACTTACCTATTACCTTAGCTAAATATTAAAATTTGTTCTTTTTAACCAGCATAGGATATAAGTTGAAAAATATCTACATTTTACTTTTCAATCAGCAGACTCGTTATATTAAATCTCAGAAAAGAAGCACAACTGTTCGCTTTTGCTTACACCGAGAATACTTGCCACCCCGTTCACACCAGTTAATTTCAAGTCTGAAAACTTCTTCCGACAACTCGCCAATTTGCAAGATGGCTGACAATTAACGAAACTATTGCGCGAGCAAACTATATTCCCCATAACAATAACTACTGAAGGATGAGTGTGCCAGACAAGGACAACTAGCTTAACATTTTGTGGAAATTAACTTGAATGTTGTGTCAACCCGAGCCGAATAACCTATTCAGCTACCTGCTGCAGCATACTCGTTTCGACAAACAAATGACAAGGTAATTTTCAAATTTAAAGCATCTAGGCATATTTATCTTAAGATCACTAAATAAACTTACCTTGTCGCACAAGGTTCGAACTTGTGTTTCCGTCAATTGATTGCATTCGTTTAACTGCTCAATCCATTGATCCAGATCTTTTGTTGTTGCTTTATCCTCCATCGCAGTCGAAGAGGAGGAAAAAGTCTCGTCAATCTTCGTGGGTTCAATTTTGACGGCTTTTATTAACACGGAGCAAACAAAAAATCAGTAGTATTTTCCAAATTATTTATTCGGACAATTTCTAATAGAAAGCAAAATATCAGACTTGCTTTTTTGTATGCAATTTTTCCAATTTAATAGACAGACACAAACTACCGACTCGGAGACAACCGCACGAATGAAAATTAACCGACGACTGAATATACGAATCACACAAACAAGCGACACGACACTATCCAATACAATTTGACAACGGCAAGTTGCTTCTTCGCTCCTTTTTACTCTTTCCTTCTTGCCGTCCACAAAGTGGATTCGATTCCCTAACTCAACTCTACAACGAATTAACTCGTACTTCGTGATGAATGATGATTCAATACTTCAAAAGTCCACAATAACACAAAACAAATATGGTAATTTTTATGAATTCGCATTCAAGAAGTTAGCCGAAATATTTTTCTTTTAATACTGCGTCAAAAGCTACAAATAGATTTAAACCCAATTATTATTTCGGAAATATAAATAGCACTTATACATATTGTGAACTGGCACACTGCACATATAGATATAGACTTTGCTATATTCCGGTTTTATTCCTAACTTATAGTTCCTCACGAATTTCACAAATGCGCACTTTAGTTAATAAAGCACGAATTGTTTAGTTCACGAGATAGTATAAATTAGATGGATTTAATTTTATCAGAACTGGTTGAAATGCGAATGGCTGAAATTAGGATGCGCGATGTTAACCGATGCATTGGAACACGAACTTCGATACGATACGATACCATATCGATACTTTTGGCATTCGATACCGATATTTTCTACTCGATAGTTTTAAGACGATATTTTTTGGAATCGAGTACCAGAACCCTAGTATCGTATCGAATGTCATACACTCACATTCCAACAATGAGGGGAAAAAATTTTAGAATAAAAAAAAACGTGCTAAATTGAAAAAAATACGCATATGAAAGAGCACCAACCCAACTCGTTTTAAATTTGAGTATATACGTTATAAAATATGTGGTTGTGAAGTGCACAGATGCTTTTCGTAATTAAGAAGAAAAAAAATTAATTTTATGTTCCGTCTGATGGGAACTGAACCCGGACCCTCTTGGCCGCAACTAATTGTATCAAGCGTCTTTGCACACTCAGCTACAGCCATACATGTAAAGGTGTTTTCAAATGTTGAGTTTGAATCAACATCACAGCGCGCGATTAGTGCATTATGCCATACCATGTATGTGTATGTGTGTTGTCACCGCTGTGCATGCTTTGTATACATATACCTTCTTAAATACATATGTATGAATTTAAGCATCCGAGACGTGCAAAACGCCATTCGTGTAGTGAAAAATGCTTAATTTTAGTATGGGAGTATTTGAATTGAATATTTCCATTATATGTACATAGTATATGTATCATGGAAAAATCTAATTGGTTAAGACTTTTCACTTGATTTTAATACGAACATTTTTAAACGGTAATTAATGTTTAAGTCAACACCTCAATCTCTACGTGTTGTAATAATAATAAAGTCCGGCGCTTACACAAAATGTTAGTATTTGGCCGCACTTCTCCTCCGATTTGTCGCGTGGGCCTTAATGTTGTGGCACAAAGGGGGTGCCTACAGTTTTATGTCGACTCTGAACGGCGATTGTATTTTATGGGAAGCTGTTTTTCATTTTCAAGAGTTGCGCACTTCTAACCACTACACCCCAGCGGCCTACNAACGGCGATTGTATTTTATGGGAAGCTGTTTTTCATTTTCAAGAGTTGCGCACTTCTAACCACTACACCCCAGCGGCCTACATGCGAAACCTATATTCAGATAAATTTTTTGGATTTTGGTATCGATATTTGGAATATCGAGTCGTTTTATTCCGATATTAATTTGGTAGCCGATATTTTTACAGGATAATTTAAATGAGTACCTTATCGATACTTTCGGTTCGATATCGTGTCCCTACCGATGCATCGGAAACATCGATGTTTCCAATAGAAGTGGAAAAATATCGACGACACTAACGATACATTGATGGTTTGTGTTACAGGCTAACCTAATATTCGCGGCTTGCGTTTTGGTACGCACGCTGTCGAATTTGTTTTTTTGCGTCACCCGAAATTGGCTTGCGTGTGTTTGCATTTGANTTACAGGCTAACCTAATATTCGCGGCTTGCGTTTTGGTACGCACGCTGTCGAATTTGTTTTTTTGCGTCACCCGAAATTGGCTTGCGTGTGTTTGCATTTGATTTCAATGAGCGAAACGTCAAATAAAAATGTCACGCAGAACAAAAATTGGAAATTGAGTTAGCTTCATACGCACGCCGTTCAATTTCGGTTGGTCCCATACAAGTTGTATGTGCATGAGAAATTTTTGACAGTAAATTGGCGGCGTGCGTGAATATTAGGTTAGCCTGTTAGCAAAATATACTATCGATGTTTTAAAACCATCGATACTATCGTCTGTTATCAAGACCGATAAAACACAAAATTGCGCTGATGTGAAATTCGGTAGAGTACTATGTTCAAACAAGCATCCAATTAGTTAATTAAGAGCATTTCAGCAATTAAACCCCTAATTCCATCAACATTAGCCTTATAAAAACTGAAACAATTAGCTGGCAATAAGTAACTTCTTCTTCTTCTTATTTGGCGCTGTAACCGCCAAAGCGATTTTGGCC